TACCCCCCCCCCCCCCCCCCCCCCCCACACGTACTTCCCCACACGTACTTCCCCCTCCGGTGTTTGCCATCGGGGTTTGGGTTTTCGTCGCTTGGCAACGACGTTGTAAAACGTTGTAAAACAAGCCGCCGCCCCCGGTGTTTGCCATCGGGATTGGGTTGTCGTCGCTTGGCAGCGATGTTGTAAACAAGCCAATTCACTTCGTGAGCTCGGCAACCAGGTTACCGGGGGGGGTTTGCCTTTAGTTTTTTTTTTTGCGGTAACCATGAATGGTGGTCGAGTAGATTATGTTGTGCGGGGTTGAGAACCCTCATTCCGCGCAAAGGGGATAATCGCACGTTGTGTTAAATTGGTCAAGCACCCTCGAGGCAGTTACACAGCGCTTACAACTGTCTGTGGAAGTTAAAGCACCAGAAAATAAATTAAGTCATACGCAGCTGTCATCTGTACGCAAGGAAGTAAGCACGAGATGCCGAACACACTTAGCAGGATGCAGCGCACCCTTCATGCGACTCGCCGAATACCTCACGGCGCTTCGCGCTTGGTGATGTGAGAGCCTGGTCCGGTGAGAACCCGGCGTGCTCCGTCCCGGCTTTGTAGGGATGCGAGGTCAATGGTCTAACGACTACGGCATGCACGACTATGAGTACACCCCCCCCACACACACGTACACCTCTTGCCCTCGCCCGCATACCTGTTTCTGCGACTTACCCTAGACGGCCGCCCTGATCGTGGACACTACCGTAAGCATGGTGGCGTTTCCGGTGTGCTCGAACGTGACGGGTGTTGAGGAAGGGGACTCCGCGGATGAGGAGGGGGGGGGCGGCGACGGAAATGCCTGCATCCCCTTCGAAGACACCCTGGATGAGGCCGGGGAGAAGCCCTGCAGAGCCGGAACGGTGGGTGATAATGGCCATTTACGGCACGGTACGGTTGGAGGCGCGGGGTGTGGTCGTGTACGGTATGTGGGTGGTACATGCGGATGCAGAGCGACAACTATGAGTGCGGAATGGCGTTGATGCTTGGGGTCGTTGGGCGATAACGCCTACATTTGCGAACAGAGGCCTTGTGACGGTAGCACCCACAACCTACCATTGAGCTTTGGCCATTCTTTGCCGGTTGAACCCCGCGTCAGAGATTCCTCCGAGAACGTGAGACAGTTGGCCGTTGCTTGGTCGGGCGGGTCAGTCGTGTGCTTGTCTGGAAGGATTAGTTTGTGTCATGTACGGTCGACATGCTTGTCGCACGCAGGAGAGACTCTTCCTTGCTTCGTTACAAGGGCCACCGGTTGTCACCGCCCGGAGTTCGGCGTGCGCCCTACCGGAGGACCAAGAGGCGCCGTTGTTCACTATTTCTCGAAGAGCTTGAGACGAATCCACTGTGCGCGTCTTCTCCCCTGTGCACATGCGCACGCACCCTTCCGCCCGCCGACCTTACTGCAGCTGGGTTTACCGCGTTGCTCGAGTCGCCGTTCATCCTTATTTTTTTTTTTCTTGCCTTTTTGTGCCTTGCTTGGACTCGCCTTTTAGTTTGTGGGTAACGAATGCTGCTCGTTACACACGCGAACACATAGCCAACATTTTGGAAGTACATGTAGTGTTTTTTTTTGTCTGATTTTGTTCTTTGGCCTTCTTCGCGCACGTGAAAGCTGGACGGAGGGACCGTTTCCCTTCACCCTGAGGACCCTCCTGGCAGCCAAGTCCTCCCCTACCTTCAAGATCAGGCAAGTGTCGCGGTGAACGTTCGATCCAGTAGAAGGCAGAAGGATGTAGCGGGGGCGGGAGACGGCATCAGAAAGACGCCGGGAGGCCGGGGGGACAGAGAGACGGGGTTTAAGAGTAGGTTTCCTGAAGCCGGCATGGGGGTGAGGGAGGCGAGGTGTATAGTCTCAGAGAGACCGCGGCAATAAGAGAAGGAAGCCCAAGGCCACCTGAAAAAGAGACCGGGGCAGAGTAGATGGAGGGCACGAGGAGAAGCCCGGAGACGATGCACCCTGTATTTTCTGCTCGAGATTCGCGCCTTGTACAAAGCTTAGATGCAGCGGCGGGCTTTTCGTGGCTGGCACCCGCGTTAGAATGCTTTTGTCCCGTTTTGGGACTACGTGTCGACCGTGTTTCGTGGCGATTATTTCCCCACGCCTTTTCTCTTTTCCCCGTTTTCTACTTTTTATTCCTGCTTGTGGTGTCCTTTGCTTCCGTAGGAAGTATCCCTCTCGACGAACGTAAGCGCATCAGGAAGCGTTTTCGCCACGTTCAACACGACCGTCGCCGATAACAGGTATGTGTATGTGCCCGCGCATTCTTCATGTTCTTCAGTCGATGCACGTACGATATATGTGCGTGTTTGTGAATGTTTTGTTGGTGTTTGACCGCGCACCAAACGGCCGGCGATAGAATAAATACCTGGGCCAGCGAGACCCAAAAATATGTTTGTTTTCTACGAATTTGTTGTTGTGTGTTTGATTGGCATTAGGTACGTGTTCGTGTTTGTTGAATAGGCATCGACCGTGCTGTATACCCGGCTAACTAGTGAAATATGTCAGGCCGTGTGTTTTTCTTTGTTGGACTTCAACCGCGCCAACCAGCTGACCTATTAAATATCCCCCTCTTACTTTGTGTTTCTGCTGTTTGAGCGGTTTTTTCTTTTTTTTTGTTTGATGTTTGTGTCAAATGATGCCGTTTTGCCTCGTCCGCATGAACAGCCCTCGTTCCTCTCGCAGGCTTTGTTTCCCCGGCTGCCGCCAAACCTAGACGACATCCAGACCCCGCACGCTTGTGCCACACACCCCGTGCCGTCTCTCTCTCTCTCTCTCTCTCTCTCTCTCTCTCTCTCTCTCTCTCTCTCTCTCTCTCTCTCTCCCGCCCCCTCAGTGGCACCCTCGACGGCTGGGATGGTGCCGCCGGGGTGCTGGGCCTAGCTCGGTTCCCCCACACGACCTGCATGAGCGATGGGACTGAAGTCAACGGCTCTCTACGGTCAGGTGTGATGGGGGTAGCGACGCAGGGACGGCGGTAGATATGTTTGTGGAGTGTCAGCGTTCGTGGTGGTTGTCGTTGTTGTTTGTTGTTATTGGGGGTGGTGCTGGCGGTAAGGTTTTAGCTGGAGTATGTCGTCGCCACGAAGTGGAGATCCTACCCGCCAGAAACGCTGTTTGCGCTGGTGTTAAAGTGATGAAAACAAGACAAAAAATGGCATTCCTCTCGCGTGTGGCGGCTGGTTGTCTGGGGTCCTGCAACCTCTCGTTCGATACGTCATGTATTTTGCGCTTCAGGGTTGTAAGGAGGGGTCCGTCCCTTTGTTGACTTGTAGTGTGTAGACGAGCGCGCCTTTCGACCCGGTGGCACTGCACGTTTGGTTGCTGATACGGCCTGAATGAAGGCACCGCCTTTGAATCTGGTCTACGGCAGGAAGCCTCACTGACAAAAGCTTCAACACACTCCCTCGAGGGGTGTTGTGCCTCGGCTCATTTTAGAATAGTTTGTTCTTCGCAGAAGCTTGTTGAGAGAGTAGGTTGGAGAGGTAGAGAGAGGCACATAGAAGGGAAGGAAGATCGGTCCCAGTTGGCACGCTGTAGTCGCATCCTGCCATTTGGCCGTTGTCTCTGCTTCAAAGTCGACAAGGCCCCATGAAATCCCGGACCAGCAAGCATGGTTTTCTATGTTGTTGTTGTCGACATCACGAGCGTGAACTAGTCGAGATTAATCGATGCAATAGGGACACGATAGTATGCAATGTTTGATACGACGAATCAGTAAAATGAACGAAATCACCCGTATTACTCTAGAGTGCACGTTTGGTACTATAGGCGAAACGATACAACGAACGAAACGGTACAACGAACGAAACGGTACAACGGATGAAACGGCGATGCATGTGAACCAACACGATACGACGGACGTGATGAACGCCACCCGCAGTATTCTCGCAGATGGAGGGCGCAGACTCGGTCTTCGCGCTGGACCTTGGAGACGAGAGCTACAACAGCACCCTCGAGATCGGCGGATACAGCGGTAATAAGACCACCACCGAGGACTGCTCAAACGGTTTTATGGGGTCACGAGTACGCCAGAGGAGGAAACACCACCACGCTTGTGTTCCTACCGGTTGGTTTTCTGTAACAGAACGGAGCGCATTTTGGTACAACTCTATCGGCAATGGAGCCAAGACGTGAGGCAGTAAGATATAACGAGGCTACCAAGCCGGCGTGTTCCAGCGGGGGTGCGCGGGGGTGTCGAAGCACCAGACTTGAAAACGAAAGACCGCCCTTTCTCTCTCCTTTTTTGCCACAGTCTTGAACGACAACGTTGCTTGGAAATGGAGCCCATTGGTTTTGGATCGGATTGCGTTCGTTCTATCCCGTCATGAACGCCGGTCGCCCCTGGGGACTGTTTTGGGAACTCACTGCCCATGACGCTTATCTTGGCCGGACTGTATGGATTCTCCGCCACGTGTCTAACGCGTCACGGGACACCGCCCTGTTTCCCGAACACGCGATACTACAGGCTCGTCGAGCGACACGGTCGGTGACGTCCAGTGGGGGCAAAGGCTTACGGCGGCTTTCCCCAGCTCTTGGGGCTTCCCAGCCTTCGACCTTGCCGTCTGCGGTCGGAGCTTGATGGGTAACATCACGACCTTCTGGCCCGCGGTGGTGTCGACGGGGTCGGCTTGCTTAGGCCTTCCGCAAGAGGTTTGTGCTGTTTTTTTTTTTGTGGCATCGCGGTGGTGACGGTGTTGTTGTTGTTGTTGTTGTTGGTGGTGGTGGTGGTGGCTTTGCTGTTGTCAGAAAGAGCTTTCTGTTCTTGTTTTCTTTTTAGTGAAATGGTGGCGACGCAGGTTTGTGACGTTGTTGGTGGCGCCGGTGGTGGTTGTGGTTGGGGCCTAACTGTCGGCGTTTTTCCCTGGTTGTCGCTTTTTCTCTGCTGTCGATGTGTTCGCTCCTGCCGATGGTGTGGTGTGACGGGTTGGTGGATCGTTTTGGTTGATGGCTTCGGCCTTGCTCTCTCGATGAGCAACGGTAGATATGTAGAGACCCACCTTTCTGCACAGCAGCGCTTCACATTTCGGGTCGTGTCGTCCCTGGAAACCGATCCCAGTCACTAACGATGAGTCCCGCACCCCCCCCCCCCCCCCCCCCCCCCCCCCCAAATTTTTTTTTTTTTTTTTTTTTTTTTTTTTTTTTTTTAAAAATTTTTCCCGGGGGGTTTATTTTTCCCCTCATATTTTTAAAAAACCCCCCCCTATTCCTTTTTTTTACCCCCCCCTACAAAAAGAATGGTTTTTTTTTTTTTTTTATAAATTTTTTTTAAAACCCCCCTTTTTCCCCCCCCCCTTCCTCGAACCCCTTCCTTTTTTCCCCAAACCTTCCCCTTTTTTATTTTTTTTTAAACCTTTTTCTTC